GGGTTAATAATTAATAGAGAGCTAGCCAATAAGAAGCCCAAGCTATTGCCCAACAGTTTCATAATTAACATAGTGTCTGTGTGCTTATTTGGAGCTCTTAAGGGCAGTGGGACCCTGCCGGGCCAGAAAACCTTTCTTTACACGTATGTGTCCATATATGTGTGTACCTGCATACAGAGCCCAGAGGTGACAGCGAATGTCTTTCTTCCTACCTTATGTCTGAGATAGGGTCTTTCACTGAAGTTGATGCTCACCTGTGCTGGCAATGAGCCCCAGCAATTCTCCTGTACCCAGAGGGGGTTACACATGCAGGGCACCACACACAGCCTTTTATATGTGTGCTGAGTATCCAAACTCAGGTCTTCATAGCAAGGACTTCATGGAACAAACCCTCTCTCCAGCCCCCAGTCTTAATCTTCTAATGAATGTTACCCATGTAACTTCCGCATGACCCATTCAACGTATTCTCCAGGATAATGCCACTTGAGCCAGTGGTGTTGAAATATTATATTCAAACATTCAGTAAATGGAAGGTAGTTGGTAACAGAATATCTACCCCTTTACCTTGCAACACTATTTAGATAAAGTAAAGTTTAGATTTAATAATAGACAAGAGAAGATTCTCAACTCAGATCCTGAAGAACGCCATTTCAAATGCTCCTTTGGGATTTTACATCCAATGAACAGCTCTTTTGCTGTCATCTATTGAACATCAGCCTTTGCTGGGTGTGGTAGCACATGCTTACAATTCCAGTACTATGATAGCTGAAGTAGGAGGACCTTCCGTTGGGGGCACCATAGATCTCCAGAGAAACAGGACTGTTAAGCACACAGGATTGTCTTTCCAATGGGAAAGATATAAAACCTGTTCTTCCCTCCAGAAAGCTGAGAATTGGAAGAGATTAACATCCTGGTGGTCTGTGTTATCTGTTGGGCCAGGCTATATCAAGCTCTTACCACCAAAGCTGGAGGTGGTCAGTAATCTACAGATGATGCTGATAGCCAGAGGCTCCCCCAAGCTCCCATAACTGGGACCAGAGGTGGCTAACAGCCCAGATGACCTCTATGATATCTGTTTGACTGAGACCAGGCCCAGCCCTTAGGCACTTAAGCTAGTACAGGTAACATATCTCTAGAACCCATCTTCTTGGAAGAAATGACAGGTACTCTGAGTTGAGTTTCAATGTAATTATGCTTCCTTGTGCAATGGGGATTGTATTATACCAGGAAACTTTTTTCCAAAATATGCTGGGCTTAAATAAATTGGAAATCAACCTATTACTAGACTCTCTGAAGTCTGATCCAGGTTAATGAATCAGTTTGCACTGGTTTTCATTTGAATCTCTTTGAGCAGCTTGCTTCCCTGATGACATCTGCAGGGATCCCCTCAGACCACATGATTAGGCAAGCCTGTACTCTATAGTGAGTCAAGGCCAACCCAAGTTACATTTAAAACCCTGTTTTAAGACAGGCATGCGGCACAGGCCTTTGATTCCAGCACTTGGGAGGCAGATGCAGACAGATCTTTGTGAGTTCAAGCCCAGACTGAGCTACAGAGTAAATTTTGTTCCAGGATGGCCAGAGCTATATAGTGAGACCTGTGGCAATAAACAAAACAAACAAACAAAAACCAAAACATGTTTTAGAAAAATTAAAAAAAATCAGAGCAAGCAATAGTCCTAAACTGATTTAGTGAGGTATAGACAGCTAAGCCTGAGAAATTAATTAATAATAAATATATTTGTATCTGAAAGAAGATACCTGATGGCAAGCAGCAGATGGTACACTTTCTTTAAAAAATATGCAATTCATTTTACACGCACACATACATATATACATATACACACACACACTATAGATATTGAATATTGCACACTTTAAAAATATCCTGACTTGGTGATCAGGTTTGAGCTGTTTCTCTTGTTTGACCTAAGATTTTTCTACACAATGTCAATAGGTTGTAAGAATTCCTTCAAAGCCTCAAGTCCAATATGGTTAATCTACTGTGTCTGACCAAAAAGTACATTTGTGCTCACCTATTGTATGAGTTTCAATTTTTTAAAAGTAAAAGTTCATGGCTGGAAAGATGGCTCACTGGTTAAGAGCACTGGCAGCTTCTCCAGAGGACTAGAGTTCAATTCCCAGCACCCACATGGAGGCACACTACAGCTAGAACTCCAGTCAAGGGATACAATGCTCTCTTTGGATTACATGGGTACTTGCATGCATGTAGTGAAACATGCAAGCAAGACACATACACATAGAATAAAATTAAATAATCTTTAAAAGCTCAGTTATCTTATATGCCATCCTAGAGCCTTCATCCAGTAGCTGATGGAAGCAGAAGCAGACACCCACAGCTAAACACTGAGCTGCACTACTGAAATCCAGTTGCAGAGAGGGAGGAGTGATGAACAAAGGGTTCAAGACCATGCTGGTGAAACACACAGAAAAAGCTGACCTGAACAAGGGGGGAGCTCATGAACCCCAGACTGAAAGCTGGGAAACCAGCATAGGACTGATTCAGACTCCCTGAATGTGGGTGTCAGTTAGGAGGCCTGGGCAATCTATGGGGCCTCTGGCAGTGGATCAGTATTTATCCCTAGTATACAATTGAACTTTGGGAGCCCATTCCACATAGAGGGATACTCTCTCAGCCTAGACACATGGGGGAGGTCCTAGATCCTGCTCCAAATGATATGATAGACTTTGAAGATCCCCATGAAAGACTTCACCCTCCCTGGGGAGTTGAAAGGGGATGGGATAGGCGTATCGGTGGGGGGCAGGGGAGGAGGGAAGGGAGAGGGAACTGGGATTGACATGTAAAACAAGCTTGTTTCTAATTTAAATAAAAAAATCTGGAAAAAACTCACTTATAATAGAAGGTATGTAAGGCATGTATCAATAGATTTATATCATCATTTGTAACAGAAATAACCAAAAAGTATTCCAATGTCCCAAGGAGGCAAATGACTAAGAAATACATATAACCAGAGTATAAAATCAAGAAAATTCAAATCACTAGTCCAAATCATATTTACTAAATATAAATAATAAAATAATGTGAAACAGGAAAAAAGTTAAATTCGTAATTGCAGCAATGGAAATGTGATGGGTGTTTAGAAAACCCAAGATGCATGTGGCCAATGTTGCATTATGCTCTCTTCTGGGTGAGGATGTCCATATTGACAACAGGAGAAAGGAAATCTAGAGTAAAACTTGCTTGCTAAGTACACACATCCCACACCAGAAGGCAAAATGTTCAGGGGAAATGTCTTAACTAGTGGAAAGAGCACCATGCCTCAGTCATCACACTAAAGTGCAGGGTTACCTTGGCAACTGGCTCCTAATCACAGGTGTACAGTTTAACCCCACTACCTGGAAACAATGGCAGATTTGTGATTTTTTTTCTAATCCAAGTAATTATTTAGAGATGCATACTCAACACAAAAACTCTTAATGCTGGCACCAAAGTTTACTTTTACATGATAACCCCTCTATTCCTTAACCACAAATATGCATACAAGACTAAAATCAAAGGCAAGCCTATTGGCTTTCACTGTTCCTGTGGTGGGATTTCAGGAGGGACAGATCAGAGTGCTGTGTCACATTCAGAAAGCCCTACCCATCACAAGTGCTTTGTATTTGGAAACACAAAAACACAAGAGTCGTTTAGTACTTGTATTTAGAGCAACCCATAACCTCGTAGTTTCAAAATGATTGAAGAATAGCAGCAAGTTAGTTGAGTTGTGCATTTCTTTTATTAATACATTTAGTATTCTTAAATCTTTTAAAATTGCTCTACTTTAACCCTTGGGATAAATTATTTTGAGAGGTTCAATATATCCACTGATTCAAGATATAAAATTTCACATAACTAACCTCTACATTTTGGGCTTGTAGAGCCCAAATTACTTCAGATTATGTCTGGCACCAACTCTTTGGCAATGTGGTTTAAAAATAAGACTTCTATTACACAGCCCAATATTTTTTATTGTACTTCAATAATTTTCTGTAACATAAGAACCATTATATTAACCATTAGGAAAAAATGACTACTTAGTAATATGGTTATGAGACTCCCAAATGAGTCAAAAGATCAGTGCTAAGACCAGGCAAAATTTGAATATAACTTCCAAAGTTAAGATCCAAACTGCATGAATTTTATGAATCTTTGATGCCAAGCATTAAGTTTTCTGGTAACCAATTTTGGGCGGGAATCAATGTAGTAACAGAAAATGAAGGAATAATGATAGCTGCTAAATGTGTCCCACCCAAAATGATTGAGTGTGTGTGTGGGGGTAGGTCAATGATGGAGAGCTAACACGCATGAGGCCCTGGGTTTGATCTCCAGGAGTGAAACAAACAAACAAACAAATAAACTGCCATCTAGGTGACTTGACCAAACTACTTAATTCCTATGATTCACATCTGCTCCCTCCACTGAAAATATATAGTTTCTAAATTAAAGCAAAGTAAGTGATAAACACGAGAATGTCAAGAATGTATCATTCGTCGTTACTTATTACCAAGCAGGTAAGTCCTTTAAGTGGATATAGTCTAAAAGCAGCCTTCAGTCGTATAACTGCTTTCTTTCATAACTTTAAGTCATAGGGTTAAATACACATGCATAGAACTCCGCAAAATTATGGTGACAGTGTTTTAAAAGCAGCCCGAGAAAACAGTAGTTAACAGTCCCAATCAGTGTGCAAGGAAGCCAACAAAAAGGGAAACCGAGTCAGATTAGACATTTTAGCAGGTTGTTTACCCTGAAAGGGAACGAAAACACACCTCCCAGATAAATAATGCCCGCCTCTTACTGCTTCCCCTGATCTAACAAAATCGAACAAAACAACAAACAGCACAAAACCACCGGCCGGGCAAGGTATGCTTTACCAGCGTGAAGCGCGTCCCCAGAGCGTCCCGGACAAGGGGACAGTCATTCAGTAAACTTTCGAACGGGAGCTGAGGGTTGGGGACGTGCGCGGGAGGCGACCTACCTCTCACAGATTTCCCGATGCTGTGCAAGTGCGTGATGGAACTGTAGTTCTGGGCAACGCTCTTTAGGAACGCCTCCATCCCTTCCTGGTGGTGGTATCGGAAATCCAGGGCGGCCACCACGGGCAGCAGAAGCCCCAGGCACAGGCGCGCGAGGTCCATGTCCTAGAGATGGAGGGGAAGGAAAGAGCTGCGGAGGACCGCCCCGGGGAAGCGCGGCCACCTCCAGCCGGGACTCCTCCCGGCCCTCGGGGGGCACCTGAGCTCCACACTCCCTCTTCTGAGATGCGAGGTGAAGGTGGCCCCCTCGGGGCCGCGCAACGCGATCCGTAGCCCCGCAGCCCGCCCGAGTCCCGGCAGATGCACCCTTCCGCACGCCCCGTCTCACCACTGCCAGGCGCGCGTCTCCGCCCGCCGGCGGCTGCCGGGCGCTCCGGGGAGTTATAGCCCGGCCAGAGGGGCGTTCCCAGGAGCACCACGCCCGCGGACACGCCCACTCGTCGCATTGCCCGCCCTCTGGGGCGTGGTCTCTGCCCTGGCTCTAGGGACTGCGAGCCCCGCAGGGTTTTGAAGAGTTGGTGGGCGATGGAGCACGATCGATCCGCACTCCTGTTGGACGTGCGACCTGTCCGCGGCCCGGAGACGCTGCACAGTAGCCGCCCACGGCCTCCACTGTGCCGGCCGCGGTGGACACGGTGCCCACGGTGGGCGGCGCGGGTCACCTGGAGTCCAAACCAGGCCATGCTTTCCGGTCCTGTGCTGTAATTGGGGAAACCAGGGGTGGGGTGGGATGGGGTGAGGTGGGGTGGGGGCTTTAAAGAAGAACTTGTGTGAGAGCTTCAGCCACGTTGTGCAGTACGGGAACGTGTCCAACAAAAGTAGATAGTAGACGAGATCTGACTAAATCAGAGTTAAGTTTGCGACCAACTCTCAGACAAAAGCAGAGCCGCGGTCGCTACTCCGATTCCTCAGCTAGTTCTGGCGCTTCTCCCTAAAATGCTGCTTTCTGCGTGGGTGGGGTGGGTTGTGTTTGCACTAAACAGAACACAAATCATGACTGTTGTGAAGTGGATCGTGACACGGGCCATCCCACTAAACACAGACCGTGACTGATGAGTAGTGGTTCGTGACACGGGCTATGGTGTGTTCTACAGGACTCCACATACACTGTCCCACTGTCTGAGGGTTTGCAGAACCCTGGAAGGGTCTGGTGAAAACACACTTCAAAAACTACTGATTTGTTACAACACTCGTGAATAGATTTTTAAAACAGTGACGACAGGGACCATCCCAAACGGATGGGGTAGAAGTTCCTTCCCGGAGCACAGAGGAGGGGGTTGTTCTTAAAAGGGTCCTTGAGGGCGGGAGAGAAGGCTCAGTGGGTAAAGACTGCTTGGGTTGCAAAACTGGCCACCGAAATTTGAGTGTCAGAAGCCATGTAAAGGTAGAAGCAGAGACCAGACTCCCTGGAGTTGTCCTCTGACCTCACAGGTGTCGCCTGACCTCCTCCACAGGTGCAAAGTGATCATTTCTGCCTCCCCCATGCCCCTCCCCACCATGCACATACATAATAGCGAAAGAATTAATGGTTTAAAGCAGCGATTCTCAACATGTGGTCACGACCAGATAGTCTGCTTATCAGATATTTGCATGACAATTCATAACAGTAGCAAAATTAGAGTTATGAAGTAGAAACGAAAATAATTTTATGGTCGGGGCTCACTACAACATGAGGAACTATAATAGGGTTGTAGGGTTAGGAAGGTTCAGAGACACTGCTGTCGTAGCTCTGTGGCTGGAGACTGGGGGTCAGTGGCTTCGTCAGTACTGACAAGGATTGCCTTCCCTATTCCAGGAAAACGAAGGGGTGAGAAAAAGTTACAATCTCTGCCCTGGAAGTTCACGCCAGATAAGAAAAACCAGTCGGGGAATGTCACCTGGAGCACTCCAAAAATTCTGGATCTCTCATCCCATTGCAAGCCTAAACAGAATTCAGAGATTCATTCATCCTGCAGAAGGGTTTGAGATACACTGCTCTAGAGAGAGTGAAGGAGAGAAACAGAGAAGGCTCAGTGTGAGACTATAAAAGCCGTGGAAGAATAAAAGTTTAAGCTAAGCGAGAAAAAAACCTGGTTTGTGGTTTCAGAGGTGATCTTCCTTATCATGAAATGATTGGGGTAAAACCATAGTCTAATGACTGATAATGTGTCATTATGAAAGCGTGTGGTTTCTAAATGGGTAAACATGGCATAAAGTTTACCAAAAAGAAATAAAAAGAAAGGCAAATCAGATGTTATGGTTTGCATAGGAAAGTCCTCCACTGGCTCTTGTGTTGAAGGCTGGGTCATGATTGGATCATGAGGGCTGATTTCCGTCATCAATGGATGGATCCACTGCTGTGTGCGTAATTGATGGTATTATTTCAAGATGAAAACCGAGAGATCGGGTCTGGTTGGAGGAAGTAGGTCACTAGGGGCATGGCTTTGAGGACATACCTTGTTTCTAGCCTTTTAGCCTTTTCTCCTCGCCTTTGCCTCTAGCGTCTAAAGAGCTGAGTAGCTTCGTTCGGTCATATGTCACCACTGTGACGGCCTCAGAACAGCCAAGAGTCTATGTACTGAACCCTCTGAACCTTTGACCCCAAACAAGTCTTTCTTCCTGTAAGTTGTTTTTCTCAGGTTTTGTCATGGCAACAAAGACTGATTGGCATACCAGAAAGCAGAATTAACAGCTCTTACGAAATCAAAATGGGCAAGGGACATTAATAGGCAGGTCCTAAAGCAGCAATATAAATAGCCAATAAACATAGCGAATGTTACCAACCTGGCTAGTAATTAAAGAGTCATATTTGAAGGGAAAGGCAATGTTTTGTTTTGCTAATCGCTAGGCATGATTTTTAAAAGGCCGGCAAAGCCAGGAAATGGCATTTATGCTCTTTCCATTGTGTTTTAAACAGTTACCCTTGTTGGGGGGGGCAGACTTGTGAAAAGACAACAATGTTTCAACCCTGGGATTTCATCTTTAAAGGTAATTTGAAAATGTGTGTTGTATTTACCTGGGAAGGTTAGAGTTTCAAAATCAGTGTTGTTTTCAAATTCTGACAAAGATAATAAAACCTAAATGTCTAACATAAGCAGGTTGCCTGCAACAGTGATCTTCTCTGGGGCAATATTTCCCAGAAACCCTTGGCAATACCTGGAACTATTTTTTAAATTATTTTTTATTTAAATTAGAAATAAACTTGCTACATATGTCAGTCCCAGCTCCCTTTCCCTCTCCTCCTCCCCTGCCTCCCTCCAGACCCCCTAAACCCTACTCCGCTGCTCCCCAGAGAGAATGAGGTCCTCCATGGGGAATCTCCAGAATGTCATTTCATCCCGGGCAGGGCCCAGGCCCTCCCCTATGTGTCCAGGCAGAGAGAGCACTCCTCTATTTGGAATGAGTTCCCAAAGTCAATTTGTATGCCAGGGATAAATACTGATCTACTACCTGAAGCCCCATAGATTGCCGAGGCCTTCCCACTGACACCCACCTTCAGGGGGTCTGGATCAGTCCTGGAGCTAATTTTGATGGTTATGACTTAGGGAAAGTGTTCTTGGAATCTAGTCCTGAGGCAGTGGGTAAGGAGGGGTTTGCTGTGGAAGACTCTATAGCAGTGGTTTACAACCTTCCTAATGCTGTGACCCTTTAACACAGCTCCCCATGCTGTGGTGACCCTCAACCATAACATTATTTTCATTGCTACTTTATAACTGTAGTTTTGCTGCTGTTATTAACCATAATGCAAATATCTGTGTTTTCCCGTGGTTTTAGGCAACCCCTGTGAAAGGGTCATTCGACCCCAAAGGGAGTCATGACCCACAGGTTGGGAACCACTGCTCTATAGTGTATAGCACTGCCCAGCTCAACAAAGAACCTTCCAGGCAGAAGTGTCAATCCCAATGGCGTTGAGGCATCCTAAGTCAAATGAAGACTGTTATGACCACTCTGCAAGTTATTTTTCAGTCATAATAATGAGGATGTAGTTACAACTTACTGCCTTGGGAAGACAGATCATTCAGTGAGAAAAAAAGCAGATGATAAAAGTAAAAAGTAGGAACTTCGGAGGTACAGTGGATTAATAACCATTTTTAGCAATATGCTGAACCATTTCCAAACAATCTGACTGGTAATCCTTGAGCCACAGTGTTTTAACTTCCCTTTCTTTGAAAAGCGTTTGTGTGTGTGTGTGTGGATGTGTCTGTCTTCAGTAGCAGATGATTGCAGGCACCCTCTCTGTTCATATAGGGTTACCCTTCACTCTGGGCATTGCTTCCCTTGCTACACACGAGTTCTTTTTGATTGTTTTCTATCTGTTCACCTATTTTTGTGTTTGTAGATGTCTGTGCATGTGCCTCAGTATACTTGTGGACGTGTGTGTGTGTGTGAGTGTGTGTATGTGGTGTGTGCTTGAGTGTGTGTGTGTGCATGGGTGTGTGTTTGAGTGCATGTATGTGTGTGTGTGTGTGTATGTGTGTGCATGGGTGTGAGACCAACAGTCAGTTTTCTCATTCCACCATGAGATTTCTGGGGTTCAAACTCAGATCTTCGAGCTGGTGTCAAGCACTTCTATGCACTGAGCCATCTCATCACCCCTTCTACATACATGCTTTTAAATGCAATACTGTCCCTGTTGCCCATTTTTTGCTTTTGCTACCTGTGCTTTTAGTGCCCTTTCCAAGAAATCCTTGCCAAATCCAAATGGTTCCCTGCTTTCTTCTGCTTTTATGGTTTTAGGGCCTAAGTTTAGGCCCTTAACTTTGAGTACATTTTTGCACATGGTGTGCTGTATGGATCTAAATTCATTCCTTTTGGATGTGGAGATACAGTTTTCCCAAAGTCATTCTCCCCCAACATTGTGTTACCTTTGTTCCCTTGTCACAGATAATTTGACTGTGTTGATGAAGGTTTCTTTTTGAACTCTCTGTTGTGTTCCCCTGCCCTTCAGATCTTGTGTTTACAGCTGTACCATGCTGTTTTGGTTACTGTAGCTTTGTACTATGTTTTGAAGCCAGCAAGTCTACAGCTTTGTTTTCCTTTTTCAGGTTCATTTTGACAATTTGGATTTTAGGATTTGTTTTCTATTTATTAGGATTTCAATAGAGTTTGCACAGAGTATGTAGGTGACTTTGGCTATTGTAATATGAAAGAGACATTTAATGACTACTAAGGTAGTTGATGGTTGATCTTTTCAAGCTTGTCTTAGTTTGTCTTCTATTGCTGTGCTACCAGCACAGCTTGGGGAGGGAAGGATTTATCTCCCTTTGCAGGCTAGAGCAGATCTTGAAGGGAAGTCAGGGCGGGAACTCAAGGCAGCCTGGAGGTAGGAACTGAAGCAGAAGCCATGGAGGAACACTACCTACTGGCTTGCTTCCCTTTGCTTTCTCAGCCTACTTTCTCATACAACCCAGGACCACACGTCCATGGTAGCATGGCCCACAGTTGTCTGGTCCCCCCATCAATCATTAATGAAGAAAATGCCCCACAGACTTGCCTAGAGGTCAGTATTATAGAAGTATTTTCTCAAATAAGAATCCCTCTTGCCAAACGACTCTAGCTTGTGTCAATTTGATAGAAAACTAGGCAACTTATCTCATATTTAATAAAATGTAGCAGACTCTATGTCTACTGCCCATTTTCTGGCTTAAGTAAGTGAGACTGGGATTCTACTTGACTATTGCATTCCAGTGTCAGGGACATACTAGCTTAGACTACAGAAGGAAACAAAGTTTATCTACAGCTGTCCAGTACCCAAACTAGGTACTCAAGGCATCTTAAAGAAAAGCAAGGAGAGAGGGCACCTCCATCCAAAGTTATAGCTCAGCCTCTTTCATCCAGTCATAGCAACAAATACTTACAGTCTAAAGTCTTCGTGTACAGACAGATGTCAAATCCTGATTATTTCATTATTGTTTAACTTTGGGAAACATAGCTCCCTTAGGTGCCTTAGTTTTTTTGTTTGTTTTTATTTTTGCTTTGTTTTGTTTTTATGTGAAGCAAGGAAAATGATAGTTTTGTTTTGGTTTTTCTTTCATGCTAGAGGACTGCACTGGGTCATTCGCTGAGCTGCGTGGCTGACTGCCCGTGGCTACTAATTGAAAGAGTGCATTCAGGGCGCCTAAACAGTGACTTACAGAGTGAAACCTCAGTAACTGTCATGCAGCAGGCGTGTGCTAGTGTTGCACCCCCACAGCAACTCACCAGCATTAAACAGCACGCACTCCGCATCTTCTGCTGTCCCAGCTGCAGGTAACACGGTGTCGCTCTTCTTGCTCACTTTTGTGCCTGGTGTGGCTAACTTATTTAAAGCGTTCTCATTTCCAGGGCTTTAGTATATACTACCCCCATTTAATCCTCACAGTCATGTAAGTCATGTGAACTTATTCTCCCTGCTTCATGAATGAAGACTGTTACTACAGGACATTCCCCTGTAAGCCTGTAGTGCTCCTGCATGTCCTGGCTGAGTGTGCCAAGAATTCAACCCTAAAAGCCATTCCTTGGAGTTGTGTTCATCACCTGCGGCCTTGCGATGAAGTAATGCCTTCTTCTTTGAGGACAAAGAAGTATGTGGTTTCTGTTTCTACTAAAGCAGAGAAAAGTAATGAGGGGGCTGGCAAGATGGCTCAGCAGGTAAAGGTGCTTGCGGCCAAGCCTGATGATCTGAGTTCAATCCCCAGAATCCACGTGGTAGGAGGAGAGGTAGAAGGAGAGGTTGTCCTCTGGCTGCCACAGGCATTCCATGGTGTGGGCAGGGTTAACAAGCACCAAGCTCCCAAGCTCAGCTCTTTGGGGTGCTATATAACCCCTCTGCACCTGCACCATGCACCTGGGTTCTCCCTGTGCAGGACTCAGAAGCAAAGCAAACAGCTCAGGATGCCTCAGGAAATGAACAACAGCTGCTCTCATCCAGGAATCTCACACCTTCCCTCACTCTGGAGAAGCAGTGAGTAGCTGACTAACTTCTTAACTTCAGCAAGTCTCACACCCTGACAAGGAAGTAGTGTGGTCACCTGCCAGAATTTCTGCTCCATTGGAAGCCCTGTGAGATAGAAACTCATCTGTCTCCATTTTGACTGGTGGAGAACAGAGCAGATGCAGAGCCAGCCCTTACCCAGTCCTTGTTGGATGAATGTTCCAGATGATCAGTGATGTAAATTTACCAACTCACAGGGATCCACCTGCCTTGCACACCACCACTGCCAGGCCACAACTTACATATGCAAACGAGTAATTTACATGCAACTCTCACAAGACCTTTCTAAAGAGCTCAGAAGGTACAGGGCATTATTTCCATTTTTACAAATGAGAATGTGAAGCTCTAAGCAATAAAAAAAATGTATCCATGGTCATTTAGCCAGCAAATGGCACAGTCAAGACTGAATTCCCCCTTTGATAAAAATCTAAAATCCAGGGTTGGAGAGATGGCTTAGTGGTTTAGAACACTGCCTGCTCTTTCAAAGGCCTGAGTTCAATTCCCAGCAACCACAAGGTGGCTGACAACCAGCTGTCATGAGATCTGGTGCCCTCTTCTGGTCTGCAGGCATACATGTAGGAAGAACACTGTGTATATAATAAATAATTAAAATTTAAAAAAAAACTCAAATCCGTTGCTCATGAATAACTCATCCAATATGATAAGGAAAATTCCATTTTTATATATTTAATATACATCTTAAAATTAAATATAACAAATTTACAAAATATCTATTATATATTATAACACAATTATATAATATCTTTATATATATTAAGACCAGTTTTATTGAGGTTCTATATATATAAAGTGTAGAGCCTAACTGTTTCTATTTATGTGCATGTGTTTATGTCTGTGTGAGCATATGTCATGTGGGTGCTGGTGCTCCCAGGAGCAGAGGCGATATTGGGTTTCTCTAGGGCTAGAATCATGTAGTTGTGAGCTGTGGGTGCTGGGGATTGAACCCTGGTCCTCTAGCAGAGCAAGCCAGACTGAACCCCTCAGCCATCTCTTCAGTCCCTCTGTAGTTATAATACTTGTTATTTCCGAGGTCTTTCTGGGCTTTGGGCAGCTATTTTTGGCCCAATTCTCCTGGTCTCACCCTCATTACTGTTTTACTGTCTTTTTGTTTGTTTGTTTGTTTTTTCTTCAAATGAGGGCCTCCCCAAATAAGATCTCTACTTCCGTCGAACCAGATCTGTTAGTTCTATCAAAAGGATGCATCGCTATGATACTCTAGAATGGAAAGCTGGCTATTTTTGGTTAGAGAGATGAAAGTCGTTAGTGAAAACCAGCTGCTTTTCATCAAGACCAAGCGGCGGTCTTCTCCCTGACTTCCACACCATTGCCTCTCAATACCATGAAGCAGATGTTTGACCATTTAACTCAAGCCCTCTCTTCTTAAGACAAGAACTCTACACTTTCTGCTATATGACTATAAAAAACTTGATCCTTTATTTTTTTATTGTCTTTTGTGTGTGTGTGTTTCAGAAGATGTTCTGTAGTTCTGTAGGAACTGTGACTGTGTTTTCTGTTTGCTAAACAACTTGTCTGTTGAAATTCAAACAGAGCAGTTCTTCCGTTTTTTGGGTGAGCAACTGTCAGTAAGGTAGCATTCCCCTGGGGATTATGATGGCTCTTGTATTCTGATGGACTTCTGGATTTTTTTTGATGGTAAACAGGAAGAAGTAAATGGATTAAAAGTCACACTTAGTTGTGAAGGAAAATAGTAATAGTGGTAGTCATGTTGATGATGGTGAACAGCAAGCGATTGTGAAAGCATCCGTTGTCATTCTCCCTTAAGGGTTTCATCACTGTGGGAGTTCACCTATCTCTGCCCTGCCCCACTCTCCTAGACTCGTTCACCCACCAATTATTTATTACCTAGTCTGTGCCAGGCAAATAATGCCCAGGGAGCACCATGGGGGAGCATCACAGGCTAAGTCCCTGCCTTTGTGTCGCTTACAGTCTACAAGAGCCAACATCTCCCTTTGGCAACCTCACGCCCTAAAGAAACCTGTGGCCTTTCTTGAGTGAGTATGTCAACTTAACATTACTTTCTGCTCTGTGTCTACCTTCATTGCTTTGCACAGCATTTAAAGCTGCATGGAGTGACTTAGATGCAACATTTTGTCTACTGGCAATGGAGCAAAGTTCAAGTTTAGTTGCTGTTTGATTTGCCTATTAACTGAAAAAAAAAAAAAGATCTACTTTAGTTCTGGAGGGTGCCGGAGTCAAGCATGGGCAACTGAGTAGCTTTGTTTCTTCCCTTGCCTCTCTATCAGAGTTCAGTGTATACATGGGGGACTAGAACTGCTACTCAAGAAAGGACACAGAATTATACATAGTAACCAAACCAAACGCAGCAGTGTTAAAACTTTGCTGTGACCAGGTCAATAGATTATACACAGTAACTGTGGTAGTTTGAATGTAACTGACTTCCGTAATCCCCAAGGGAGTGGCATCATTAGGAGGTGTGGCCTTGTTGGAGGAAGTGTGTCACTGTGAGGGAGGGCTTTGCGGTCTCTTGCGCAAGCTTTGCTCAGTTTAACAGACAGACCACTTCCTGTTGCCTGGGAGATGTAGGGTGTTCAACTACCTCTCCAGCACCATGTCTGCCTGATGTGGCCATGTCCCCATGTCCCACCATGACAGTAATGAAACTCTGAACTGTAAGCCAGCCACTCTCATGAAATGTTTTCCTTTCTAAGAGTTGCTGTGGCCATGGTGTTTCTTCACAGCAATAGAAACCCTAACTAAGCGCTCGGGAGGCAGAGGCAGGTGGATCTCTGTGAGTTTGAGGCCAGGCTGGACCGATAGCCTCCAAAACAATACAGAGAAACCCTGTCTCGTAAAAACCAAAAAAAAAAAAAAAAAAAAAAAAAAGAAACCCTAACTAAGACAGTAATCAAAATCGTTCATTGTTCAAAGCAAAACCTATGGAAACATGATGCCATGGGTTAGACCCCAGCTCTGTTTCTAACTGCCTGGCTTTGAATACGTCATTTAATTTCTGTGTTCTTCCAGGTATTAATCTATAGGACAGACTGAATTGTGATATTGACTTTATAAGACTTAGAAATCATATCGTATTGCAGATATTAAATGAGTTAACATAAAGAGTTTAGGAGGCTCAGTCTGACGTATCATAACCATCTCACAGATCCCTAACTGTTACTGTTGTATACTTGGTGCCCTGCCATCCTGCCCTTCAGCAACTTGGTGGCAGCAGTGGCAGAGGCAGTAACTTACGTCATCATCTGGTGTAGTGCATATCTGCAGTCCCTGTGAGTTGTGTAGAGTTGCATGGTGACAGAGGCCCCCTTTAAAGATCTTGGCTCTGACTTAATCTATGGATTAATCATGGGATGGATTCATAATACTGTCTTAGTTTCTTCTCCTGTTCCTGTGATAAAATGCCCTGCCAAAGGAAGAGGGTGGAAGGGGAGGAGGGAAGGGGGGTGTAGCTCAATTAAAATAAAATACCTTGTCAAAGACAATTTACAGGACAGATTTAGTCTGGCCCACAGTTGTAGGTGATAGTCCATCATGGCATGGAAGTTACAGGACAGGGGCTTGAAGAACCTGGCTACATTGTATCCACAGTTAAGAAACAGGGAACCCTAAATACTTGCTGTTGCTCAGCTCACTTTATTTCATACAGTCCAGGATCCCAACCAGGAAACAGCCTCATTCACAAATAAGACAGGTCTTCCCATATCAATTAACATGATGCAGGATAAGATAGTGCGAAGTTTCCTCTGTCTTGTATTCTTGCTGAGGCCATTAGGTTTAACTACAACTTTAACTCCTTGATTGTGAGCCCTGTGAAAAAATTACCCAACTCTATTCTAGGATTCCAAGGTCAAGATGTCCCAGATAACTTAGCTTTTATTAAATGGCCTGCTTGTGCAGAACACACCCTCTTCCAGATAACCACTTATCTTAGCTTCTGTTTAACTGCTTGCTTGCACAACCTTCCCCTCCACACCCCCACAACTACCAAGAAAGATATCAGGATGCAGTTTTTGCCTTGAAGAGCTCCTTACTCTAAATGCCGGGTGATTATGTCAAATTGACAGCACTAACCATCACAAATATGGTATTATGGAAATGGTGAAAAGTAGGTGGGGCTGAGTTGGAGCATGTAGGTCCCTAGGGGCGTGGCAGTGCCTTGGATCCTTCCTGTATTCCTTAGCTCTGCCTCCTGTCCATCATGATGTGGGTTGTTCCACCACCTACTCCCCACCATGGTAGAAGGAAAATTCTGAAGTTGTGAGCAGAGGAAATTCTTTCTCCCTTAGGTTGTTTCTGTTAGATATTATTCTCAGTGATGACAGGCTGAGGTGGTAGTTTTTTGTGTGCAACTGGTAAGCCACCAGAGGCAGGAAACAGGGTATTAATCACCGTAACCTCCAACAGGCCAACACATTATTTAGCACATAATGGAAGCCACTCTGGTTTTGAGAACGGGTAGTAGAGTTAAATAGATAAGGATTAAAAACACAAGAGGTGGACATGACCACGGGTTGAGTATGCAGAGCTGTAATTATGTACTCACCACTTAGCACACATCTAAGCTTGTAGTGTCTCATTTTTAGTCCCATGCCAGTCCTTCCTTTCAGAAGGGAGGGCGTTGACAGCATCTACAGCATACGGATGCTGTGGGGGCTCAAGTAAGGCACCCAACAATATGCTTGGTTGTCAGGAAATTATATTAGTGGAGGTTTGCAGCAGGTGCTTTGAGAAGGGTGTTGAATTGTTGGATTATACCCGTGCTGTGGGTGCTCAGGTACAAGAACATGGGTGAACGCTGCAAATGGGAAATCTAATTGGAGATTAATATATTAATGGTATAATATTAGATGTCAGGGAGAGGAGATCTTGTTTTAATTTGTAATAGTAAAGAAACTAGGGAAGGGGAGCTAGGGATGGTGGTTCACACCTTTAATCCTAGCACTCGGAACAGAGGCAGGTGGATCTCTGTGAGTTCAAGGCCAGCCTGGTCTAGCTAGCACATTCCAGACTATCAAGGGCTACATAATGAGACCATGTCTCAAAACAACACACACACACACACACACACACACACACACACACACACACACACACTAGAAAAGGGAATGAAATAGGTTTGTACTCCATCTGTTTAGCTAACAGGAACTAGGGTTTCTAGAAATCCCTTGCCTGTAGAGTTGTGTGTTGTTTGCTTCACAAAAGACACTGTGCTCATGTTTTGGGAGGTGGGAGTGCCGTGTCAACTCTTATTCCCAGAAGGTCAGGGTAGGGCTCTGGGGCTGTGGCAGCTGGGCCACCGACAGTTTTTTGTTGCCTTACCTGGTTGGTGTTTGGTGGCAGTCCCTGCAGATCCTACCAGATTTCCTTCAGCATCTGGGCCTCTGGGCCAAGATGTGTTTGCTCTTGACAAAGTTGTCTGTAGCTCCTGGAAGCTACATTTAGATGGAGGTTGGAGATGGAGGGAGGCCAAAACTGCTCCCGGCCCATCGTGGAGAGTCCCAGCTCATCCCTGTGGCTCCGGTTTCTCTTCCCGTTCACCTCATGCCCAGCTTTCTGCCAATTACTTGCCAGGCTGACTGTAAGGCTCTGGTAGCAGACAACGAAGCAACAGACCTGTACAGAACAGGAGTTCCTGCCACGGCGGCACAAGGTCCAGTCCTTAGAAACAAGTCACGTTGAACCATTCATGGTGGTTTTGCCTCTCAGGTTAAAGTCCCGATGGAGCAGGGACGCAGAACTGATAACCTGGTTGCATCGTTTCCTGTGACAGCTTCTCTGGGCACTAGAGTGTTCCTTCTAGGACTATTGTGATTCAACAAAGGAAAATCACTCAACAATGGCCAGGCTCCAAGAGTAAATTGCTTCTTCTTTCTGGTTGCCAGGTTTGAGGAGTTCAGCGGAGAACAAGGCAAGAAGGCTCGCATTCTGATCGTACACGGGCACTAATTGGGGATACAAGCATGTTAACAGGAGTGCAGTCTATGGGCTGTGGGCCCTATGGCCAGGAGATAAAAGAGTGGCTTTGCCTTGGTGCTGAGCTGGGGGGAGAATAGCACTCTGAGGAGAGGTAGTCTTAGTTTTATTCTGAAATGGCTCCCCGGGTGGTGGTGCAATTTTGGGAATCCCAAGGAGGTTTCAAGATGCAGGGATGCTGGGCGACTGTGACACTGTCCCCAACTCCTGCTGCTCTGTGCTTCCTTGTCCCAGCATTGCCATGCTCCCCGCTGCAACAGACTGAGACACTCCACGTGTCTTTCTGCTATGATGGGCAGATACCTCTGAAACAGTGAGCCAAGACAAACCTTTCCCAACCCAGGTTATTTCTGTCAGATATTTGGTTCACAGTGGCGCAATAATAAGTACTAACAACACAGAGTCCCAGAGGCAATGGCATCCACGCTGAGATCTGAGACCAGGCAAGCAGGTTTCTTCCAGATCTCTACAAGATCTGTGTGTGCAAGCGCAGGAGGTCAGAACCTGACAGTTCTCATCATTATTGTAGCTCAGATCACATCTGTCAAGTGCTGACACACTGGTGGATCTTGTGTCCAAAGTGGGGAGTAGGGATGGAGGCCTGGAGGAGGCCCGAGTCCAGGCAAGCATAGCAGGGCTAGGCTTGGAAAAGAAGACTAAATCAGAAGCCAACAAGACTCCCAAGACAGCCCTGGCTGGAGTGGAAAGGGAGCACTGTTGTCCAGCAAGGGGAAAGGGTGAGAACAACGAGCAGACACTCTGTGTGGTTAGGTGTGTGCCAGGGAAGGCCTTGGAGGAGCCCTGTGAGCAGAGAGGAGACTGTGGCCAATGTGGGCCTCTGTGGAACTGCTGTTTCCTCTCTGCCCTGTAGCGCAAGTGTGCACTCCAGAACTGTGATGCTCGAGGGAGCTCAGAGGGCCAAAAGGTCTTTCAGGGCCAGTGCTAACCGGCACTGTCTTCAGCAGTCATCCATGTTACTTGAAGATTGCTTTAAGGCTGGAGTAGGTTATCATATTTTAAAAACATGTCTGACAGATAGATCAGGGAACAGGATAGAAGCATGATTTTTCTTTTGTTTGGTTTGCTTTTTGAGGCAACACGTCACCATGTTGTCCACAGCAGCTTGGAAACTACTCTATGGCCTATTCGGGCCTCAAATTCAAGTTTTTCCTGATTCTGCCTCAAGTGTGCTGGGATTACAGGTATGCACCATAGCACATCTGGCCTTATATTGCATTTTAAAAAACGAATTCATTTATCTTTGTTTTATGGGTATTGGCACGAGGGCTTCGGGTCCCCTGGAACTGGAGTTACAGACAGTTGTGAGCCAGTTGTGGTTGCTGGGAATTGAACCTGGGTCTTCTGGAAGAGCAGCCAGTGCTCTTAACTGCTGAGCCTTCTCTCCAGCCCCCCAAATTTTTCATTAATGTTCTTGTTTGTTTGTTTGAGCCTAGAGCCTTAGGAATGCTAGGCAAGCTCTCTATCACCGAGTCAAATCTCCAGCCCTGTGATGTTTTCCTAAAGGATAAAAATCTAAGTTTTTTCTGCTCCTCCCTCAGACCCACATCAGACAGTTCCATGTCCCTTTGTCTCACTGGGCACTTGTGGGAGGAAAGGGTCAGGAGGTCACATAAAGACCCAGGTCCCTGCTGAGGCCTCAGCTTGCTAGCTTCTATCTCCGGAGTGTGTGAGGCAAAATGAGATCACTGAGGATTCTGAGGTGATTAGCATAGCATTCAACCAAGTACAAGCTCTTTCTGGTCCAGGGCCCTGAGTACCACGTGATCAGCATAGCCCCTTGGCCTACCCTTCCCACCCTTTCCACACATGTGTGAACATTTCTTTTTTCTCTTTTGAGACAGGGTTTCTCTGTGTAGCCTTGGCTGTTCTGGAACTCGCTCTGTAGACCAGGGTGGCCTTGAACTCACAGAGATCCACCTGCCTCTGCCTACTGAGTGCTGGGATTAAGGGGTTAGATACCACCGCCCAGCAGTGGGGACATTCCTAAGGCGGAGTACCAGAGGAAGACAGGAGACACAGGATCCTCCTCCAGCTTTTCCTGCTCATAATCTTTTCATGCCTCCCTGCGTCTCCACTTTCTCTGAATTTCACAGGAAAAGATTCCAAGAAACCACCATCTGGTCCATTGTTATCCAGGTGTCCTCCGTGCCTGCCTATGTTTTCCCATTAAAAACAGTACACTGGGAGGCCAGGGGTGCGGCTTCATGGTAGAGCACTTGCCAGCAAACATGAGGCTTCCAGTTGGATACCTAGCCTGGCCAAACAGACCAACTAACAGACCAAAATAGGAAGGGAGGGAAGTTGGCTTCGGTAAACCATGAACACTTTCTCTGTGTTTACAGCAGGTCACCAGAACATAGGGCTTGCTACTGCCTGTGTCACAGCTGGGTCTAGGGTTACTTAGCAAGAACATGCTTGTACAGGTCACCTAACCCCAACTGCGCTTTCTGAAGAAGACAATATCAGTCAAGGGAGGAAGAAAATAGTCGTGTCGTGTGGTTGGCCAGTTGGGCATACATACACACTGTGCCTATAGGATACTTGGCTCAGCGGTAGGAAACAGACTCAAGAAAGTACACAAAAAAACAAAAACAAAAAAAGAACTCAAGGACCCTTCTCAAGGTTAAACACCTTATGGAAGCTCTTTCCTTTCATTTCTGTGCCCAATGTAATTTTTTCCCCCATCTCCTTCTTCCTGTTGAAAGTCTAACAATTCTTCAAGGCCATACTTTTTCATTTTATTTTATTTATTTATTTGTTTTTTTTTTTTTTTTGAGACAGGATTTCTCTGTATTGTTTGGAGGCTTTCCTAGAACTTGCTCTGTAGACCAGGCTGGCCTTGAACTCACAGAGATCTGCCTGCCTCTGCCTCCCGAGTGCTGGGATTAAAGGCCTGTGCCACCAACGCCCAGTTTATTTTATTTTTTATTTACATGTCAATCCCAGTTCTCCTATCATCCCTCTCCCTCCACCTTCCTGATGGGGATGTCCTTCTGTATATATGCTTCTCTTATTGGTTGATGAATAAAACACTGATTGGCCAGGCAGGAAGTGTAGGTGGGGCTAGGAGATGAGGAGAATTCTGGGAAATGTAGGCAGAGTACATTTCATGTACAGCCTGGGAGGAGAGGATTCTGAAGGTGTTCTCTGGTAAGCCAAGACCATGTGGAGATACATAGATTAATAGAAATGGGTTAATAATTAAGACAAAGCTAGTCAATAAGAAACCCTAGTCATTGGCCAATAGTTTATAACTAATATAAGTCTTGTGTGTTTATTTGGGGATCCAGAACGGCAGGACTTCTGCTGGGTAGAAAAACTTTCCATCAACACCTTCCCTTCACCCCACTCTTCATCTGCTCCTCTGAGAGAGTATGGCCTGCCATGGGGAGTCAGCAAAGTCTGTCCCATCACCAAGATGAGGCCTGACCAAGGCCCTCCCCTTGTGTCTAGGCTGAGCAAGGTATCTTTCCATAGGAAATTTTGGGCTCCAAAAAGTCAGTTCATGTACTAGGGATAGATCCTGAACCGACTGCCAGTGAAGGCCACAATTTTTAAATAATCTTTTTTTGGACAGTATTTATTCTATGACCCTTTGTTTATATTTCCCATTTATTCCAACATATTCTAAAGTATTTAGGAACTCAATTTATTTAGCCGTGTGCCCAACATGCTCTTTACCTTCATTTTAAATCTGTTCACACATCCCCTAATACTGACTGCTTTCTATCTCCATGTGTAGATTATATTAACCCAGACAGATGGAGTCCCTGTCCTTATTACTGTGGCAGCCAGCCTGGTGGCAGAAACACTTCTTGCTAGCTTCTGAAGGCACGGATTGCTTGTGACTCATCTTGGTCTCCTTAGGAGTAAGCACGGATGGCTCTTCCTATCTGCTCACCAGAAATATTTGTGGAATGAAATAGAACATGATACAAGTTCAGTAGCAACTTGTGGACAAATCACAAAGAAGAGGGCTACAATTCTAGACAAGTGTTTGTTAAGTTATGGGGTTTGTTATATTAGGAATTCGGTAACCACAGACGTCATTGTCCCGTGTTTATGGTTGTTTCCTTAGCATTACAACATAGATATTCACCAGGCATGATTTGTTCCCAGCCAGTTTTTCTATTTTCGTTCAGCTTTTTTACAATTGCTTTTATTAGTTATTCTTTCAGGATGTCTTGGAGAGCTGCCCCATAAAATTATTAAAGCTGGACATCCAGGAGCTCTTTCATGGCTTTCCACGGTTTACAAGATGTGTGGGTGGCGATGAAGTTTTTATAGCATCTTCTTGTTGTTGAGTATCTGTTCTGTGTGCCATTCTGTTTCGGGTGGGGGGATGACAAACTTCTAAGAACATCACACACTGCAGGTCTGGCACAGTACTATGGGCGTCACCCCATTTGGTGAAGGATGATCTAGTCACTCACTTAGCCCTCTCCGTTTCCATTGCTGTCAAACTGATCCAGTGACAGTTGCTGGAGACCCCCAAGGTTACACATCTGTCTGCCTCTGGTACAGCCCTTATCAGTCCTGGGCTGTTTTTCCTCCCTGATTTTTAAGCTCTACCTCTTTGGTCTTCTGAGACACACCTATTCCGGTGGATGCCTCACCCCAGCTCCTGGCATCCATATACTCAAAGAGTCTGGAATGTTCTGGTGAAAGTTCCATCCCAAGCCCCCTCCTCTACCTCTCTCCAAACCCTGCTGCATCTCAGAAAGCCCGACAATTGATGACCCCTCCCCCAGAGATGTCCAAGATCACCC